TAAACATGTAGGTATACAGGTATGTATGCATGTATGTACACATGTGTGCAGGTATGTGCGGGTGTGTGTGGGTGTGTGTATGTGTGTATGTGTGAATGTGTGTATATGTATGTGAATGTGTGTGTGTGTGCCTCGACCTTCAAACCCAAACATCGAACCGCCTATAATTACGCTTATGCATTCCATACTGCAGCATGCGTTCATTCGTTAGAAGCGATGCCACACCTCTCAAGCAGCAAGTGCATGATCTCATCATGATCTGCAACAGATGCACACCTCCCGGGCCATGTGCAGAACAGCCTCTTAGAGTTTATGCTCTCACAACTCGGAAAAAGACTTGCTAGACATGTTCGGGTTTAGGTGTCAGGGCTCTGGGCACGCAAGTGAAGGATCTCTTTGTCGGATGCTTTCATCGGAGTTGTGTACTCGTCGTTGTGACTGCACCCTTGTAGGCCTTGGCCTCCAGCAGCAAACGGATGATCTCGACATGACCCGCAACGGACGCGGCCTCGAACGCCGTGTCTGCCACATCCCTGGCACCGGCCTGCAGCAAGAAGTGGACAATGTCGACATGACCTTGGCCGGATGCTCGCACCAAAGCTGTGCAGCCAATGTTGTCTGCCAAGTCCGCATTGGCCCCGGCCTCCAACAGCAGGCGGACGACAAAGACGTGGCCTGCGCCAGATGCAAACATTAAAGCGCTGTAGCCATGAATATCTGCTGCATCCTTGTTGGTGCCGGTTTCCACCAGCAAGCGGACGATCTCAACACGACCTGCGCCGGATGCAGCCATCAAGGCCGTGTGCCCGTAGTTGCCTGCTACATCTTTGTTGGCGCCAGCCTCCAACAGCAAGCGGACGATCTCAACATGACCCATTTCGGATGCCCTCATTAACGCCGTTTGGCCGCCGTCGTCTGCCAGGTCCACGGCGGCACCGGTCTCCAGCAACAAGTGGACGATCTCAACATGACCTTCGTCGGATGCCCAAATCAATGCTGTCTGCCCGTAGCTGTTTGCCCCATCCTTGCTGGCACCTGCTTCCAATAGCGAGCGGGCGACCTCGACATGACCCTGGCCTGATGCTAACATTAAGGCCGTCTGCCTGTCATTGGCTGCCACGTCTGTGCTGGCATCGGCCTCCAACAGCAGGTGGACGATCTCGAAATGACCTTCGCCGGATGCACTCATTAAAGCTGTGCGGCCGTCCGGATCAGGCAAGTCGGGATCTTGGGGTCGTTGCACTCGACCTCGGCCACGGAGCCCTGTTCGGCAGCAGTGACGAGATCGACCACTTCCGAATCGAAAACATCAGTGAATGGCAAAACCACGAGTTGCAGGTCCATAGGTGTGCGCAGCAGGGCCGTCTCCTCCAAGCTCTCGCCGTGCAGGAGCAACCTCTGTCTAAACCGTGGGGCCACGCCGTGCACCTGAGTCAGGTGCTGCTTCAAGCCTCTCACATCCCTGAGATTCTCCAGCTCCTCTACAGGTACACTCGTCATCATTGCTCCGGAGAGCATCCAGAGTTGCAGCATCCTTCTGGAGTTTCGAAAAACGTACTTATCATCTTCTGCTACATAGGATAGAGGGTCTGACCTTGAACCAGTGCGGATGTCCCAGCTGGAGCTTCACGCTTGCCCTCTGCTTCGTCTAGCTGCTACGAAGCGTTCCGGCAACTACCACTAACGCCACTACCACTGATGACACGACCAGCACCACGTCACGAATCGACACGACCACCAGCACAATCACAAGCCCCACCACCATCAACAACAAACAAACGGCGAAGGAGCTTGTGGCAACATGTGGTGCTGCTGTGAGACTGCATGGACTGCATTTCAGTCGGTCATGACCCGGCTGGCAGGAACGACGACAGCAGCCAAGATAACGAAAGCGATGCCGGAGAGCAGAGAACCAGCTTCACCATGGAGCTACCTGTTGGAAGTCCCACTGTGGCCCCATCAGAGAGAGACCCGAAACCTTTTTTTCAACCGGCTAAAACCCTAAACCCAGCAAGTATATAACAAAGTGGCTCCATCAGAGATACCCCATAGTCTGGTTATTAGATCGAGAAAAACCGTGCATTCAACGCTGGGGTTCACTCGTAGGGGCCACGACATGTGGCGCCGGAAGCGGCAAACCCTAAATCGAGCAGCGACTTAGCTCTCACAAACCCGACCTAAACCCCCAACAGTGGGTAACAACATGGCCCAACACCTATAAACACGGCTAGTCCTCTACATACTGTTGGGGTCTAGGTAAAACCGTAAAGGAAATGGCTGCGGGGAGCTTCTCAACCGTAGCACCCTGAGTTCCAACCTGCAAATATGCCGAAGGTCACCTACAGTAGAAAAGCATCCAAAAGCCTACAACAATCCCTAACCCTCCAGGTACCTACTATATAGGGCCTTAGGGGCTCCAGTACCCTATATAGTAGGTACCTGGGGGGTTAGGGAATCCTCAATCTAACGATATGGCCGCATGGGTTGGGGAAATCTACAGGTAGAGGTGAATCCAGAGAAATCACGAAACACCCTCTCCCTGAGCAGTTCAAGGTAAGGCGATGTCCTAGCACCATGCACTAGCTACTGTGAGCCTAGCTTGAGAGCCCTTTAGCTCCCTTCGTAGCCCCAAATGCCAAATCCCTTCGAAACCCTAAACCCTAAATATGCGGCCTTCGAACCACATGAGCCAGTCTCGCACCAGCTGTCCTCAAGGCTGCCGGTCGGAAAAGTTTGGTTTTAGGGCCTGACCTCAACACCCAACAGTGGGTAATAACATGGCCCAGCACCTATAAAAGGCTGATATTCGACAAACTTTTCGGGTCTAGGTAAGGGGTTTGGGTTGAGGGTTGTAGTTTTGCGCATTTCGGCGTAGGGATTTAGGGGGCGCAGCATAATCCGGAAGGGTTTTGAGCTTCCTCGGCCCCATGGTTGCCTTGCCCTTCTTCGCCCATACCCACACATGTTCGAAACAGTGAAGCAGCCCCACCTTGTAGAGATCTTGGGCCGAGAAGCCCTAAGGCCTGCCCTCCTTCAAACCGTCAAAGGAACCCTTCAAGGAAGCCCTTAGAGGAAACCTTAAGGATCCATTTACAGGAAGCTTTCAAGAACTTTTCAGGAACCCTTGAAGGAACCCTCAATGAACCCAACAGGAGTGGCCTCCCGCACGCACTCTGCACACCCCTCCGTCATCTCGAAGCAACTTAGCAACAAGGTTGGTTTACGGCTCTGGAAGGGCTGCAATTAAGGTTTTACACTGGTCTCTTTTCGGGTTTATGTGAGGGTTTGGGCGATTCGGGGTTGGGGTAGGGGCTCCTTTTTGGAGCATCTAGCCTCCTTTATGCGATGGATCATACTGACCGGGGTACTATTAACGGATCGCGGTGTGTTCCTCTTGTTGTTCTACCTTCAAACACTATACCCTTCTTGTTGTAGCGTCCCGATAATGGCTTTTGATACGGTCCTTTAAAGTAGCTTTGCCACACAGATTGCCCAATGTAAAATCAAGGCTTATATACCTTGTATCATACCGACACGACATGACACGAAGCTTTCTAATATATCAGGCGCATTCCTCAAGTAATGGGTAGTGGATGGTGTTGGGTCTCTAGGTAGTTTGAGGTAGGTGCAAGGAGCTCAGGCTGAAACAACAAAGCCAAGGCCAAAGGTCATAAGTACCTAAAAACCAGAAAATGAGGTTTCAGCACTCACAACTGGGACAAGCAATGTCTGATACAGGCGGAAGGCAAAGCCGAAGAGTGCTTGGGCAGCGCCTGCGGCACCTCGATGGAGCCGGAAAGCACCCCAGCCAAGGGAAGTCCTCGCGGCAGGACGCAGGTCCCTGCGAGGCGTGCCTTCGCCGTGAGAGCTTCGATGCTACCCTAACCCTCCAGGTACCTACTATATAGGGCCTTAGGGGCTCCAGTACCCTATATAGTCGGTACCTGGGGGGTTAGGGCTAGTCTGCACATCGTCGGGGAGTCCTGGCGCTGCTCGGCAAGGTTGAAGAGGACCGATGAGACCGTTGCATCGTCGTCGGTGCACTGCCCCGTCAAGGCACTGATAGCCTCATGGGCGGAGTCCATCATCTAGACAAACTCCCTGTCCAGACCGCACGCAGGTCCTCGTAGTGCATGACGTACGCGGAGGGTTGAGGGTTTGGGGCCTAGGGTTTCTATAGTAGGAAATACGAGTATGGTTTGGGTGCATATCCCCCCATATGAGGGACAGCCTAATATCTCTTTACATGCGCCGGAATCTGGTAGCCATTACTCTACTCAAACTATTGAGACCCTGAAAAACGGGAAGAGTTTCGGGCATTTGGAATTTAATTCAGATTTGCAGGCATCAGGGATTAGGGGTGCGCAGTTGGGTTGCCCCCAAAACTACTCGAGCCCTAAACCAAAGCCCACGCTAAGTACCCGCGCCCCAAAGCAAAAAAGAGAAAAGTTTGGACTGCTGTCCTTTCAAAGAAGCTTTTTCTCCAATCTGTCTTGGTTTTGACGGAAGTCTAAACCAGAACCCCAGGCCGTAACCTTGTCTGAGAGGCAGAGCTATGGTCGAAGGCAACAGCACAAAGCAACAACACCAACTCACCAATAAGAGCCCAGTTGCCTCTCTGATGCTTTCCTGGGGGTTATGGCGGTAACCCATTTAAAACAAAAGGCAACCGAGCGATTGCCAAGACCTGAACCCCAAAGTCTATCTGCGCTGAAAACAAGCTCCATCGTCTCTTTCCCTAAACCCCAAAACCCTGAACCCTAAACCCTAAACCCTAAACCCTAAACCCTAAACCCCAAAGCCCTACAGGCAAACCCTAGACCCCAAAAACCCCAAATCCCTAAGCCGAATCCCCAGGCCCAGACACGTAAAACTACAACCCTCAACCCCAAACCTCTTACCTATCCCTATAACCCCCCAGGTACCTACTATATAGGGTACTGGAGCCCCTAAGGCCCTATATAGTAGGTACCTGGAGGGTTAGGGTATACCACATCCCCGCATCAAATCCGAAATCTCTGGACCCCGGACGTGGGATATCGGAGTTGCCTAAAACAACACCTCGCGCAGGCCTTTATCCAACTTCCGATTCATTCGGGGGTGGGCTCGGGGCTGCGGCTACTTAAGGGTAATATAGAGGCCTTCATGATTAGAAGAGGGTTTGGGGGTCAATTTGTTTATATACTGCTAAGTAGCAAGGAACTCCGATTGTCTACAAGAACAGAAGCCCTAACGCAGCAGCATGCTCTCCACAGCCGAATCCTCATGGTTCAGCTGGGGGTCTACTTACAGTCTCCATTGTAGTTTCATGTAGTTTCTGATCTTATGGTTGGCTAACTTTGAGATGTTTAATGGAGTCACGTGGGGCTTTAGGCATTATAGGGCTCAACAATCAAGCAGCTTCGGAAACTGTAGCTACGCCAAAACGTCACTGTGGCCCCGACACGAGGTGGGTGGCCAAGTTGCAGAGCGCCAGTGTGGCCGTCATTAGCGTGCACACCTGGACATAAGGCTAATCGCCATATACCGAATCCAGCGAAGGAAACGCTCAAAAGAGTGCTGAAGAGTTTGCAAGCCTCAGGATTGTGACGACGAAACTTTCGTGCCCGGACCTCCAAAGCATAAGCCCTATAACCCTACGTAAAACTTCAAGAAGACTCAAGCTCGAATCCCCTCAAAATCCCTATCAAACTCTCGTAAAGCCGGTGTGCTGAAACGTGGGGGGGGGTATGCCCTACTGAGAGTCGCCATTGTAGGTCCTGGTTTGGGTTGTTAAACAATCCTTTGTGTTTACGGTCCGTTAGCCTAGAACCGGCTAAACAAAACTCACTACAATGACAGCGGAGACAGTAGTATGACGGTAGGTAAAGCCGGGGAGTCCCTTTTGAAGGTCTGAGGCTGTGGGCTTTGGGGTTGGGAGAGTGGTCTACAGTGTAGGAGCAGGGTTGGTTTATGGCTTTTTATGGTTCTGGGTGATGACAAAAGAAGATGTACACCCCAATCAAACCCGAAGCCCCAAGCCCCAAACCCCTGAACTGCATAAACCCTAAACCTTATAAACCCTGAACCCTATAAACCCTGAACCCTATAAACCCTAACTCTGGGGCTCTAACATTGACCGTACGAGCTGAGCTTTCTTGGGCACCACGATATGCAGCAGGCCGCGGGGATTTGCAGCACTCACCCAGG